ATGAATCTTAACCAGCCAGGAAGGTCTCAAAAATACTGCACACAAATTCAAAGCAGTCCACGCATGTGGGATGATTTGCAAATGCAGATTCAACGATCCATAAATACATGTAACATCATTCATAAATGTGTGATGGAAATTAATTCAAGAACTTGATATATACATATTTGTGTAAACATTTTAAATGTATTTAGGTAAGATGCTTTTGTGTGAGCATTTGGGGAAATATTTATGCTTTTACTTGTGTATTTATGAATTGTGTTTTGAATTTATGAATCGGATTCTGTAAATGTAAATTGTGCTGTGCATTTATGAATTTTGTTTTATAAATGTATTATTTTTGAGGCCGATCTGGCTCCATAAATCCCTGACGTTGTATTCTCACATACATGAACTAGGAAAACTGCTTGCTGCTGCTGCTAATGCCACTGCTGTTATATGAACAATACATGCTTAGTAATTACTCCTCACGCGAATAACCTGCACGTCGTTTTACAACTTGTATGTTTTCTAGTTTAAAAATGTACATCTGACGAACGCAATAATGCACAGAAAACAGAGTTTACTTATCTTGCTGTAGAGTTTTAGAGAACTCTGAAAGCGCACTGCAAGAATCTCAAGTGAATGCTAGCCAGTCATATAAATGCAAGGCAGTAAGCTCATTGGCTGCATATGCAGCATGAACCAATCAGATTGTGCCAAGTCATTTAACTCTAAGTCTTGGCTTGCTGTGACTGTAAGAATCTTGCCGGGGAAGAGCGGGGGCTGGTAACCGAGAATGCATTGAAATGGAGTAAGGCCAGTGGTGGATTGCCTGAGGGAGTTTTGGGCATACTCGGCCCAGGGGAGGTAGCGGCTCCAGCTATGCTGATCGTCTGAGCAGTAGGACCGAAGGTGGCATCCGAGCTCTTGGATCTTTCGCTCAGTCTGGCCGTTAGTCTGGGGATGGTATCCGTAAGATAGGCTGACGGTAATTCCTAAGAGCCGAAAGAATGCCTTCCACACATGAGAAATTAACTGGGGACCCCGGTCTGACACAATATCCTCTGGCAAGCCGTAATTTCAGAACCCATTGTGGAAGAGACTCTCTGCGGTCTCGAGGGCAGTGGGAAGGCCTTTTAGGGGAATCAACTTGAATGCCTTGGAGAAACGATCCACGACTACGAGCATACATGTGTGACCTTCTGAATTAGGGAGATCAGAGACAAAGTCCACTCCGATGTGAGACCAGGGTCTTTGGGGAACCGGCAGGTGTACTAATTTGCCAGATGGTAGATGGCGGGGGGACTGCGACATGGCACAGACTGAGCAGCTGCAGACGTATTTGATGACATTCTTGGCCATACCGGGCCACCAGTACCGAGCTTGAATGAGCGAGAGGGTCCGCTGGCTGCCTGGGTGTCCAGAGCTCGGTACTTCATGAACTGAGCACGTAGGTTTTCCCTTCTGGGCCTCCCTGCGGAGTTGGCTCGGTGCAGGTAGCGTCACGGATGTAATGAGTGAGTTCCCATTGGATTGGGCTGACTAGGAGGGCTGGAGGGAGAATGGGTTCAGGGTCCAAGGGTTGATCTGGAGCGTGCATACGGGAGAGTGCATCTGCCTTGGGGTTTTGGTTTCTGGGACGGTAGGTGATGATGATATGGAAGAGTGTGAAGAATAGGGCCCAGCGGGCTTGACGTGGATTAAGGCATTTGGCATCTCTTAAGTACTGTAGATTCTTGTGGTTGGTTATGACAGTGAATGGGAAGGAAGCTCCCTCCAGCCAGTGACGTCACTCCTCCAGGGCTAACTGGATTGCCAACAATTCTCGGTTTCCAATGTCATAATTTTGCTCCGCAGGGGTCAGTTTCCGGGAGAAGTATGCGCAAGGATGGAGGTGGGGAGGCTCACCATGGTATTGAGACAGCACGGCCCCAACTCCTGTGGTCGAGGTGTCCACCTCGACTACAAAGGGGACTTGAGGATCTGGGTGACGAAGGATGGGGGCCGAGCTGAACGCTTCCTTGAGCTGGTGGAAGGCTTTGTGGGCGTCAGGGTTCCAGGATAGAGACTTGGGCTTGCCGCGTAGCATGGAGGTGAGGGGCGCTGTGAGCCGACTGAACAGGTGAATGAATCGTCTATAGAAGTTAGCAAATCCTAGGAAACGCTGGAGTTCCTTCACAGACTGTGGAAGCGGTCATTGCTGAATGGCAGTTACCTTCCCCTGGTCCATCTGGATACCTTCTGTGCTGATGTTGTACCCGAGGAACTGTACCGTGGAACGATGGAATTCACATTTCTCCAACTTCAGATACAGATGGTGTTCCCTGAGCCGTTGAAGGACCTGCGTAACGTGGTGGCGATGTTCGGCATGAGGATGTCGTCGATATAGACAATCACGAACTGATGGAGGAACTCCCGGAACACCTGATGTACTCGCTACATCGTTAGAAGAATGTCATCTACTCTAATATTAGTCTGTTTCTTTCTTATTCTGAGGTCACCGTAGCCACCAGATCCAGTGTGTATCCAGATCAGATGCTCACTGCAGTCACCCGGATCCAGTACGTATCCAGCCCAGATTGTCGATCAGCACCTAGAGAGGACCTCTACAGCCCTGAATGTCAGCGGAGATCTGGACAACTATATGACCCCCAGAGACAGGTCCCCAGTGAAGACCTTGGCTTCTAGACGGCCACCAGGACAAGACCACGGAACCAAATGAGTCCGCTGCATAATCTGACTTTGCTGCAGCCTGGAATTGAACTGATGGTTTTGTCTGGCCAGAGGAGAACTATTGTTATTTTGCATTATTGACACTATTTTCTATTTGTATATATATATATATTACTATTTTTGAAAGCTGTACAGTTGCTTTGACACAATCTGTATCGTTAAAAGCACTATATAAATTAAGGTGACTTGACATGAGCGATTACAAGGTTACCTAGCTTGTTTGGTAGCTTAATACCGTAGCTTGTTGGGTAGTAAGTCACCACTACAACTAACACGGCGATAAGCCTGTGTGTGAACTGATATTACGCTAATATTGTAGATCTACTGATGTGTTGGATTTTGCTCAATATGATGTTAAGTGGCAGATGTGGGCTTGCTGCGATTGCATATCTAAATAAGAGACGTCCTCAATCCCAGACAAAACCTAAAATACTATGTGGAGGATGCAAAATAATTTAATATGACCGCGTGGTGAACCTATGAACCTAACTCATATTTAAACATGCTCTCCATGCTATGTACACATGCTGTGTACACTTATCTATCTTTACAATTACAATTGTGGCTGTATTATTTGTGTCCCCTTCTAAAATTGCCCTTGATTCCCCCGTTAGAGGAATGCTGACAGAAGATTTAGCCACATACACAGAGAAAATACTAAAGGCCAACACCTGTGCAAATAAAACATATGGAAAATAGAGAATAATCAATAAATAGAAAATAAAGAAAAAATATAGCAATTTCCATCACACTACAATACTAGTTTCTCACTAGAAATGATATCTAAACTTAAAACATGTGGTCAAAAATCTACATTTACACACAAAACGCCCAAATTGGCGTCCACTTTCATTTCTTAGCTCAACTCTCAGGGAATCGAGGACTGTGGGAGATCAGCAAAGGATATGATGCCAGAATTCAAATATTGATCAGGTGAAGGCAGTAAATGAAGCACACATTGGATTCGGACTGGATCCTAGGATAAAATGAATCCTCAGAAGGAAAGATTTTCAGCTTTCAGGTTAACGAACGAAATGAAATGAACTCATCTCACTTCGTGTGAATTTAGTTTGACTGGTCTCACTTGCTAAAC